CTTCCAGCTTGCCTTAGTAGTTAACTGTCACTCTTCTACAGAACAGGCAACAACAGTATGCTGAAAAATATTCAAAATGAAGTGCATTGGTTATATTAGTGGGGAAAGTAGCTTTGGAAAAGTTAGGTAACTTTTGACGAGCCTAAATACCCATCTGACAAGTACATTTTCACAGACAAATATATTTTCATATATGTTCAGTCCTTGTTCCCTAGAGATCAGTGTTGTTTTAAAGAATAATACTGACTTGTACTCGGATAATTCTGAAATACTGGTTTTCATTCGCGTAAAAAATCTATTAATATGGCATGCATATAGGTGACTATATATTAGGTTAGGCTTTACAGATTATTTTAGAAATGTGTTTCATATACATTTCTCTCCATGTAAAAACAATGAATGTATCTTGTTGAATTATGCTAATATTGAGGAGAACAGAGAGAGGAGGCCTGCCCACCAGGTTTAAAAATAGAAAATCCAAGTCATCCTGTTCATCTGGGACCAGAGAGATAATTTTATTGTAGGTTTTCCATCTTTATTTTCACTTGATTTATTCTATTAAAGTTCTAGTGATAATTCCCGTATTTGTCACCAGATGGCACTGCAATGACATCATCTTGTAACCACTCTCATTGCCCGAGTAGTAGCATGAGGTCATCCTCAGATAATTACAAAGTATGCATCACTTCTTCAGATTGCATTAAGCACTTCTGTCTCCACACCGCTATGTTTATACCATCAGGCCTGCTGGCCCAGCTATGACAGCTAGTGTTTTTAGTATTCTTAGCCAATTTAACTTTGTAAGAAAAGCTCAGTAGTGGAGACCAAAAGCTACCCTAAGCTTAATTCATCCAGATATTGCCATGAGTAATCCTGCAGGCAAACACTGCCTTTAGTGGCAAGAGATGAAGAGCAGCAGCAGCTCCCACCTCTGTCAGGTCGTGCACAGAGATGTGCCTCAGCTCCCTGGCCCTGCACTTCTGAATAGGATCCCACCCGCAGGCCATCAAACGCTGCCTACTGCATTCCCTACTTTTTCAGTGCAGAATTTCATGCTTTCCCTTGTTTCTCCCCTCCTCCCAAATGGCAACCCTCCCCTCCTCCCCTCCATGCCCTAATTTACCTCTCAGTTCTAGTGCTCCCTGATATATTCTGTCATAATCTACCACTGTAGCTTGAGTTACAAATACTGATCCTAACCGTGACTTGTTGCAGATTCTAGGAAGTAAAAAGAAATAAACCTGGGAGTCCAGAGACGTGTTGAGCAGTAAGCCACAATTACCTCTGTTGAGAAGCCGACTTTGGCACTAATACAGCTGTCACCACTGGAGTGCTGTTACCCGAGCAATCACTTTGAAGTTGTTCAAGGGTAAACACAAATAGTTTGGGATTTTTATCTACAGATCAAGATGTGTAGCATTTACAAGTTTGCAGCATAAAAAGCTCTCATGACTTTCTTTTAGAGGTTTGATGCCTAATGCCCTGGTTTTCAGCGGGATCCTCATATTTAGTAGGGAAGTAATGCTGCAATACAGAAAATTAAAAGCTAGAACAGTTGCTTCTGACTGTGCCTCAAATGGCACATGGCTGGATGGTGTGTGTTTTGGATATACACCCAAATCTCTTGATAGTGTTAACACTTTAGCATACACCAAACAGAACCTTCCTCTGTGGCAGACAAAAATGAAAAATACTGGTGATTTACACAATTCTGCTCCTGTTTACTACCACTAAAATGCTCTTGTCCTTAGGGGAATAGTGATTGTACTACAGTCAGTCATGCATATGCAGAATATTGTATTTATGCTAATAAATTTAAACACACACCCATTTGCAAGATCATAATCCGAGGCTATACAAGAGTCAGAAGAGAGAGTCTGGTAGTACATGTGAAGGCAGTATATTACTAATACAAGATGTTGTGACCTTTTTAAGGTCTTAAAATAAATTCCAGGCCAAAACAAACTTTGTTAGTACAAAACTAGGGTTGTCTGTTGTGGCCTTTTGAATGCCAAGTTGAATAAATTCAGGCTTCCAAAAAAAACCCCTCAAGAATTACAGAGTGAAAGCAAATTACTGTGTGATCATAACTATTATTCCCCCACTCTTCTGAAATTGCTTTCACATAGTTAAGTTGCATTCAAAGTATTATATACCAGACTTAGGGAGAGTGGCTGGAACAGGCAAGCAGAACTTCTCCTGTGATACAAGGTGCTATTAGGAAATCATAAAAATTTAAGTGGATGTTTATAACAGAAGGAAAGCATTGGAACAAGAACTTCAAGGGATCCACTTTGTCTCCTTTCAAAACGTTTTTTTGTTAACTGGCATCAGTGGCAAGGTGTAGCAATCATTGGGCCACGAAGACTCTGGGCAGTTAGGTAGGAGATGAACTGTCTGGGGTTGTCCTGATGAATGAGTAAAATGTGAAATAATATATTGTAAATGAAAGTGAGGAAGTGATTGAGCATAGCAGATGTCACGTTCTTTTTCTACATCACCCTAAAATGTTTGACTGTAGGGCACATGCAAATTGCTCCTGCTCAACAAAGTTTAAAAACAGTGCAAGTATGTGCATTATGGTTATACCGTGAGTCTGACTAATGAAAGCAAGCTATGGATACATGAGCATATTAAATATATATTTCTCCTTTTTTGCAGATATATTCCTTTTTTTGTTTCTGGAAGTTGGAATTTTATTGATCTATTTTACTTGACTATCATAGACTATTCAGACATTGCTACAGCTAAGGAAAGGTAAGAATAGCATGGAATTTCTAAACACTCCTTGCTCTTCCTATTGACTTTTTTATAGTACACAGGAAATCATGGTTGTATATTTAAGTGGTTGTAGCTTTTATTACTAACCTGATTTGGAAAGCTGTGTCTGAAAACCATATTATGCAGCATCGGCAATAACTTAACAAGCAGACTTCTACGCATCGCCCTTTTCCCATCTACTGAGCTTTCACTCTCTGCAATGTATAGTCACATAATTTCTAATATATATTTCACTCCCTTTACATGCTTACCAGTTTTAAAAAGCTATTGGTTTGCTCTAAGTCATTCCTTTTTTGTCTTAACACTTGTTATTGAATCCTAAATACACTAGAAACCATAGCTCTTTGGACAGTCAAGGTGATTAAGCTTCAGGGATCCTATACTGCTACTCTAATAGCTCCCTCATGTCCCTACACTGCCTGACTTCCTGCCCTTGCTGTGAGTAGATACCCTTCCTCTACCATCCATATTTTGGATTTTCAGAGGTTTAAATGGGGTTCAGTTCAATGCCCTACAACCACAAGTCTGCTTCGGAAACAAGTGGGCTGATAAAGTAACACATGCTGTCTGGGAGCTCATGCTTTCTCCAGATCCTGGTACAAGCTGAGAGATGGGAGGAAAGGGACTGAGATTTTTCTTGTGCCTCAAATGGAAAAACAAGACAGAAGAACTTCAAAAAATTCCCCAATGGACAGGGAAGTCCCTAAGCAATGGATTCATGCCTGTTGTAGAATTAATTTTTTCTTTAATATCATGCTTGACATTGCTTTTTCAAAAGAACAGTATATGCCATGCACTAGCTGAAGTAACTATTAACCACATGAGATTGTCTGGACTTTTTCAGTGCTTTAGTTGTATTAATAAAACAAATAATAGTTGTTTCCTCATGAAGTCTTGCTCTATTGTCTAGGAGTTCCCCTGCGTAATGCAGAGCTATGTGGGCACCTGAAGAACTCAGGCTACTCTGGTAATGAGCCAAGAACTGATGATTATCAGGCTTTCTATGAGGCCCCGGGCAGCCTGATGAGCTCTGCCTGAGAAACCACGCGCCAGTTGAATTCCTGGTTGAAGCACAGAGATCAAACCAAGCAACTGGGTGCCTGGCAGGCGAGGAGGAGAGAAAACTCTAGTCCTGTGATGCAGACGAGAGACCTGTAGTCCTAGCTGCAAGAAGGGAAGGTCCAAGGAAGGAAACGTTTGACTTCACACCTCTCCGAAGAAAGTAATCACCTGCGTAAGGAGAGCTGTTGCCCTGTAGGAAGTTGCTCTGTGAGCGGCAGACGTAACAAGGCCTCTCTCCACTCGGGTTTGTCCCCACATCTAACTCGGTGAAGGCTTCTCCTGCGCTGCCCGCCGGTCCTCCCTCCGGCCTCCCGTGCCGTGCGGCAAGGCTCCGGCCTCCCTTCCCCGGGCCGCTCCCCTGCAGCGCCTCAGCACCTCTCGCCGCCTCCCTATCCCGCAGCCACCGGTACCCCAGGGCACCCCGCCTTTCCCTCAGGGTAGGCCGCAGCAAGGCCTTCTTCGGCCTGGGGACGGGCCGTCGCCGAGCTCGCAGGACCCGAGACCACCAATCCAACATGGTTGCGTTTGCGGCTGCTCTCCGCGGGTCAGGCACCGAGGCAGCCGAGCTAGCAAGGAGCAGCAGGGAAGTTTCCGGGCGGCTTATCCGCTCGGGCGGTGCAGCCCGCTGGTGCGCATCTGTCTCAGCGGACGCAGAGGCCCAGCTCTCGCGGTTTG